AAAAAAAAAAAAAAAAAAAAAAAAAAAAAAATGGGTTGGGCGCGTTACAGACTCTCAAAACGTCAAAATTACTCTGCCAGCTTCATATAAAACGAAACTGGAAACTGTTTCGTTCGAATCGCGGAGGGTCACCGCGATCTGAGCGGGATGCCGGGACCGTCCCGACGAGGACGCACAGTGAGAGAAATTAACGCGAGTGTTGATTGCGGACTCGCGGGTCGTAAATCCGGCGTTTCACGGAGATAGAGAAGACGATACACGGACAAAGATGCAGACGAAATTATGTAGAATTTTTAAGGGCTGCTCAGACCCGGAGGAGATCACTCAGTAAAGAGTGGCTTTCATCATCGCAGTACCACTTGAAGGGAAGTGGATGATGAAGGAAAAGGGACTGGGAAATGAGATGAGATCACGACGGCTCGGAAACGACGGGTTTCGCGACGCGTGAATTCAGGAGAGAAACGACGGGTTTCTCTCTTTGTTATCGAGAGCGCGGAAAACGATGGGTTTTCGCGGCACAACTCTCGGAAATTGTTAGTGAAGCGCAAGAAGCGGCTCTAACGGCTCACGACGTGCTCGCGGTCGAAGAGAACAAAGCGAACTGAACCGATGTCGAGCGATCGAAGTGAACGTGACGCGACACGATGTTGATTTTCGGTCGACGCTCACGGTCACGGCGGCAGGTAGAATGCGGATGTCCCCGTCCCCCCTACGCCGCGACACAAACATACACGGCCTTCGCACGAGGAGCCGAACAGAAGCGGCCGACCGAATACAAGTTCAAACATACCGCCCGCCTTGAAACCTTGGTTTCAACATACGAAGTACGCGAGACTGTGGTTGATGACCGTGGGAGCGACTCGAAGAGCTCCGAGCTCATGCTAAATATTTTTTTTTTTTTTTTTTTCGAAAGGGCTATAACCGGGTTCCGCCCGCCGTACATGGACCATGACTGAGGTCGCGCCTGTTTAGTCGTAATGGGCTGGAGCCGGTGGCGACGGATCTACCTCGTGATCAACAGGTAGAAGACAGAGTTTGACGATCGGTCGTTTTAATTCTGTTTTTGCCGTCTTAACGGTGACGACTCTCGTAAGACCGTCCGAACCGGGGTGGCATTGAATGACGCGCCCGAGCTCCCATTTACAAGGGGGCAGGTCGGGTTGACGCAGCAGTACGAGGCTGCCGACCTTGACCGATCGCTGGATCGTGGTCCATTTTACTCGCTGTTGCAACTGGTTGATGTAATCCGACTGCCATATCCGCCAAAAGCGCTCGGTGAGGTGACGGACACGTTGCCACCGAGACAACCGATTCTCGTTGAGGTTGAAGACGGACGGCTCCGGATTGATCGTGATTGAGGATCCGATTAGAAAATGACTGGGCGTTAAGGTTTCGACATCGTCGATCGAATCCTTAAGCGGTGCGAGAGGACGTGAATTTAGGCACGCTTCGATACGACACAGAAGAGTTGTAAATTCTTCGAAGGTCAGCGTGTCGTTTTTTAAAATGCGGCGGAGGTGATGTTTAACGCTCCGGACGCCGGCTTCCCAAAGGCCTCCGAAATGAGGCGCAGATGGAGGGATGAAATGCCACGTAACATTATCCGACGCGGTCAAATTAAGAAAACGCGGATCCTTTAATGCTGTTCGATACGCAGCAGTCAGCTCACGATCGGCTCCGACGAAAGTTGTTCCGTTATCGGAATACATCGCCTCCGGTAGTCCGCGACGAGCACAGAAGCGTGAATACGCGTTTAAGAACGCGGCGGTGGAATAATTTCCAACGAGTTCCAAGTGGATTGCTCGAGTAGCGAGGCAGACAAAGAGCGCGATATACGCCTTTCGCGAAGTGATCCCGCGACCGCTTGATGCACGAACCTGCACAGGTCCAGCGTAATCAATCCCACAGTGGACAAAGCAGCGAGTTGATTTAGAGACTCTGGAAGCGGGAAGATTACCCATCAACTGCTGCGGGATCGCAGCTCTTTCGCGGACACACACGACACATTGACGAATGATGGATTTGATGAGATTACGACCCGTCACAATCCAAAACTCTTGTCGAAGCGTATTGTGGGTGAGCTGCGTCCCGGCGTGGAGCGATCGGAGATGCGCATGCCGAATAATAAGAGTTACCAGAGGATGTGCTGCCAACAGCAACGGATGTTTAACCTTGAATGGAATCGGGGAATTTTTCAAACGCCCGCCGACTCGTAACAGTCCTTCAGTATCGAGGAACGGGTTGAGCGAAAGAATGGAGCTTTTGGACGAGATCGTGGTTTTGGATTGAAGCGCACTGATTTCTCGTGAGAAGAGCTCTGCTTGAATTGTCTTTAGCCAGAAGGTTTTGGACTTCTGACATTCGGCGGCAGAAAGTGCGATACCCGGATCTGACGCGTGTGGTAGAGGCGATTGAGATGCACGGCAAAGTCTAACAAATTTCAAAATGTATGCTGTAACGCGAATTAACTTTGGCCACGAAGAGAATTTTTTCGCGAGATCCCAGTCAGCTTGCGGGGCAGCGAGGAGTACGACAATGGATCGTCGTTCTAGACAGTCCTCAGTGACATTCGCGAGGTTTGCCACTGGCCACGTGTCAGCGGACGATTGCAACCACGCAGGACCGTGCCACCACAACGGATGGTTTACCAAGTCTTCGCCAAGGAGACCGCGAGAAGCGCAGTCTGCGGGATTTTCAGCTGTAGGCACATCACGCCACGCGACACGAGAAACATTCGAATGGATCTCTGCCACTCGATTTGCAATGAAGGTTTTCCATTGTGACGCGTGTTGCCTAAGCCAAGCGAGGACAATCGAGGAATCCGTCCAACAGTAACAATCCGAAGAAGCCACAGTAACCGTTTCTCGAACGAATTTCATTAGCCTTGACAACAGGACGGCGGCTGACAATTCCAATCGGGGAATGCTCATAGGTTTGACTGGAGCGACCTTGGATTTTCCGACAAGGAGAGACACGGCCACACGACCATCGGAAGCGACTATCTTTAAATATACCACGGCGGCATACGCCACGGACGATGCATCGGCAAACCCATGCATTTCCTGTTGGACAATATGAGGCCCTTGATGCGTCCATCGCGGGATTTGAATTTCATTTAACGCGGTGAATTTGCTATAGATGCGCTGCCACGTTTGGAAGTGCTCAATCGGGATCTCGGCGTCCCAATCGAGCTTGAGACGCCACAGTAATTGCATGAATACCTTTGCAGTTACTGTCGCTGGTGTGACCCATCCAAGGGGGTCGAACAGTCTCGCTATTGCAGCAAGAATTAAACGCTTGGAGCGCGGTGGTTCGGCTTCGAGCGAAACCTTAAATTGAAAGGTATCAGCTATTGGATTCCATCCAATTCCAAGAATTTTGAGTTTCTCGTCCGTTTGCAGAATTTTATGACAAGCGAGACCGGAGTTATCGGAGTCAATGTCGGAGAGCAACTCCGAGGAGTTACTCGCCCATTTGCGCAACTCGAAGCCGCCGCGGTTCAGAAGCGTAATTAACTCGTTTCGGGATTTCCGAAGGAGTTCTGGATCGTTCTCGCCGAAGAGAACGTCGTCGACGTAGATTTGATTCTTTAGAATCGACACCGCACGCGGGTATTCATGCCCGTCATCATGAGAGAGTTGCTTAAGAACTCGCAACGCTAAATACGGCGCGGATGCTGTTCCGTACGTGACAGTTTGCAGTTTAAAGCACTGCACATCTTCCGACTTATTGGATCTCCACAATATTTGCTGATAGCAAGTATCGCGGGGATCGACACGGATCTGCCGATACATCTTTGCGATGTCGGCAGTGTACACGAAACGGAATTGACGCCATTGCAAAATTACGGCGGTCAATTCGGTTTGAAGTTTAGGACCCGAGAGCAAATGGTCATTCAATGATGATCCGTTTGAAGTGAGACACGAAGCGTTGAAAACGACGCGCAGTCGCGTAGTTGTACTGCTTTCACGTATGACAGGGTGATGCGGGATAAACACGCATTGATCACCGCTTGACAGCGAGCGTGAAACTTCGGTCATGTGACCGAGCCTCTCATACTCGGAAAGAAATTCGGAATATTCACGCCCCAACTCCGGATTGCTCTGAAGACGGCGGCATAGACTATTTAGAATTCGTTCGGCACTCGAGAGGGATTCTCCGAGGTTAATAGGAGGACCCCGCTCGAATGGGAGGCGAACAATATAACGGCCGTCAGAATCGCGAGAGTGAGTGCGCAGAAAATATTCCTCGCATTGTTCATCGCTTGGACTTAGAATGCGGCGATGAGGAATTTCCTCGACTTCCCAAAATATACGGAGTTCGGTATCGAGAGCCAGAGAGTTCAAACAATGAAGGGCAGGCAAAAGAGGACTCGCTTGCGCGAGATTTGAAGTGATCGCTCGTGCGTGTGATGGCACGGTCGACCCGGTGACAGGGCCGGACAGGATCCAGCCGAAAATAGTCTTTTGGGCGATCGGTCGCCCTACTGTAGATTTTCGTAGTCCCTCAAGGAGGATTTCACCGTAAAGATCTGCTCCGATGAGAACATCGATCGGATGCGAATCCATAGGATCAGGATCCGCCCAGGAGAGGTCGCGAAATTGATTTAGACTTGAACCTCCCGGAACGCGCCGCGGAAAATACGCCGTTAAGGTTGGAAGAACGAGAGCTGTCGTTGTAATTGAGCCGAACAGAAGCGGCCGACCGAATACAAGTTCAAACAGAAACTTCTAGAATATTAAAAATAGGATTTGTATGCCCTAAAGTCACTTTTATGCCCAACATAACAAGGTGTTATAAATGTCACGGATTAGGCCACATAGGTATAAAATGTGAATTTAAAAAAATCTTATGCACAAAATGCGGATCCGAAAACCATTCTTCTGAAAACCGCAACAATAAATTAGATTGTAGATTATGCAAAGAAAGTGGTATCTCAGAGGAATTTAGGGACCACATGGCGGGAACGTTTAAATGCCCCCTATTTAAAGAGTACTATAAGAAAAAGAAAGATAGTCTTCACCTCAAATAAAAAGCCTTATAGCTAAAGAAACAACTGGAACTAAACTACAGTAAATGACACACAATATTAAAATTTTACAGCTCAACGTTAACCACTGTCAATTAGAACAGCAATTATTGAAAGGCACAGGTATAGATTTTAAAATTGACCTAATCGCTATCTCCGAAATATTCAAAAGAGGAATAAACGAATTCACCCCTCTATTCACATGCAAGGCCGATTAAACTTCTTTAGTTCCACTGAACATATCCGGAATACATTCTTTTTTTTTTTTTTTTTTTTTTTA